AACTTAATTCAAATGTTGGACCTTTAACAAAGAGAACTCTTTTCCCGACTGTTAATTGAGTGTTTGAGTTAAACAGATATAAACACAGACTTTAGCATTTTGAATTAAAACTATTTCCCCTTTTGATTAAAGAGATTTCGCTTACATGTTATTGATGATGGCGTAATCTTCCTGGTTCTTCAGTGGCACATAGAGTCTTCCATGCTAGACAAGACCTGAATATCTCTTGTAAAATCAATCAGAAAAAGAAATGAAAACCTCTCAAATCTCAAAAAGTGCTATTTTCCCTCTGCAGGTCGATTCAAAAGCATCCCCAGTCACTGGAGAAACAAACATTTTGCATTACTGAGTCAAGTAATTTAAATCTGCTGGTAATCTGTGTTTCTCTAAGGCCTGGTCTACACTAACCCCCCAATTCGAACTAAGGTACGCAACTTCAGCTACGTGAATAACGTAGCTGAAGTCGACATACCTTAGTTCGAACTTACCGCGGTCCAGACGCGGTCCACACGCGGCAGGCAGGCTCCCCCGTCGACTCCGCGGTACTCCTCTCGCCGAGCTGGAGTACCGCAGTCGACGGCGAGCACTGCCGGGATCGATTTATCGCATCCAGACCAGACGCGATAAATCGAACCCGGAAGTTCGATAGCCAGCCGTCGAACTACCGTCGAACTACCTAAGTGTAATAGAGAGCCCTGTGCTGTAGGGCAGTGATTCACAATCTTTTTGGGCTCAGACCCCATTTGTAAATGGCCTGTCTCTGGTGTGCTAGTGCGCCTTTGTCTCTGAGAAAATAGTTAGTGAGTGCTACCCAGAACTACAACATATTTCAGTAACAATCATATAGAAAAATCTCATAATTTTACATGCAGTGATTTTACACACATTTCAATGGGATGATAATATTCAGCAGATTATGAGTTTGCAAATGATACCTCACAAGCATAGTTTGTACAAAATAAATCATAACCTTACAAAAGTGGTGAACATGGAGTACAGGGGGTCATATGCGGTACTGGGTGTCACCGGGGGTTCCCAGTAGGAAGAGCAGGGTTTCAGTCCAGTTGGAAAGGCTGAGGTGACAGAAAAACAGAAGAAGACTAATCGAGAGTCCAGGCATGGTTGAAGGTGATGAGGGCTGCTACCAGATTTGCCTGCTACTTTGGGGTACACTTATTTGTTAGGGTTACTCTTCTGGGCGGGGGGGGTCTGTAATTCTATCAATGTACTGCTTGTGTCACTTGTGTTCTCATACGGAGCTCTACTTCTCCCTGCTGCAAGTCCCCTCCCAATGGAGCTATCCTGCAGGACCTAGGTTCCCCAGGGCTGGGTTCCTCCAGCCCCAGAATCAGACAAATACACGCACATACACATTAACAGAGCGCGTCTGAGCAGACTGGGTGAATCAGCACTCCCGAGCTGATCCCTTATATGTCCCTGGACTCAGCAGGCTGGGTCAAGCGGCACTTCCAAGCTGCCACCTTCATGTGCCACAGGCACTGCCCCGGAATAGAGCACGCCTGAGCAGCTGGGTCAAGCAGCACTTCCAAGCTGCCACCCTCATATGTCCCAGGTTGAGCACGTCCCTATCCCCACTTTCAAGTTACAATTGTTCTGGTAATAACCCACTGGATGAGCAAACCCCACAGGATTTTTGGGCGCTACAGGGATCTTTAGCTTAGGTAAGAGGAGAGTTGCTGCAGAGCGAATGAGGAAGCCAAAAACATAAAAGAGAGAGAGGGAGAGAGAGGGAAGCAACCAGCTGAACCATAAAAGTTATTTATTGCCAGGTAATAACCACACAAGGAGAGCCAAACAAACAAAACAGTTACAATATTAAATCTAACTTAAATTTTATTACAAAAGTCATGTTTAGAAAACTATAACTGATCACACAAGTCAGGATTAGAAAGATATGCCTACAGTAGAAAAGAAAAACAGAGAGAGAGAGAGTTGGGTTCTCACCACTCCATGAAGCTTGAAGCTTGAATCGATCGGGAGTCCCAGGGGGTGGTGGTAGCTGAAGGTCCGGAGTGCTGGAGACTGGCAGAGCCCCCAGCACGATCAGTCAGGAGAAGATAAAGTCCCAATGGAATTGATGCAGATTTTGGATCCAGGCATCAGAACCCTTACTTGAGCATGGGTAGGGGTTTTTGTAGGGAAACAACAATGGTTCAAGGGAGGAGACTAGGTTTGTTTATGGGCAAACTGATGGCTCAAGGGAGTATACCAAAGTTGTTTTGTTCAGGCTAGTCCAGTGGTTTTTAAAGTTCGGGTTGCAACCCAGTACTGGGTCGTGGAACGCCAGTAAAAACTAATAGTAAAACTAGTAGTCCCTACCCAGAAGCGGCCAGCAGCAGGTCCGGCTCATAGGCAGGGGGGCCACAGGGCTCCGCCCCCGCCCCGAGCACCAGCTCCACACTCACAACAATGGGAGCTGGGGGGGGGGGTGCCTGCGGGCGAGAGATGCGCGGAGCTGCTTGCACACCTCTGCCTAGGAGCTGGACCTGCTGGTCACTTCCGGGGTGCATCGCAGTTCGCAGTGCCAGGACAGGTGGGAAACCTGCCTCTGCACCCCGGCTGCACCGCTGCCCAGGAGCTGCCAGAGGTAAGCCCGCGCCCCACACCCCAATCCCCTGCCCCAGCCCTGAGCCCCCCCAAACCGAGAGCCCCTTCCTTCATCCCAATGCCCTCATCCCCGGTCCCACCTCAGAGCCCTGCCCCCCTCCCACACCACTGCCCCTTGCCCCAGCCCTGAGCCCCCTCCCACACCCCACCCCCTCATCCCCAGCTCCACTGGGTCTCGGGTATCAACCATTTTCTTCAACTGGGTCGCCAGAAAAAAAGTTTGAAAACCACTGGGCTAGACAATGGGAGCTGATCATTCCTGACTATAGGCGGTGTTCCTTGGAGGGAGCTCACAATGCAATTAGGCAGCTGCAGTATTTTGGATACCAATAAAAGATTTATTACTAGAATTGGTCTGATAACTACTGAGCTGGGTGTGTGCAGGCGTGGGTTCATTACCATCTGGAGCAGAGATCCCCCACCATGCAGTGCTTCCCTGCTTTTCTGGTCCCAGAGTTCCGTGCGGTTCTTGCCTTGGAATCTCTGTTCTCCATTCTGTATGCTAATGGTGATGCCTCCCTGTCCCATCTTCGATGCAAATGAGGCTAGGGGAGTTTCCTTAATCCTGTCATCCTTATCCCAGGGGTTTAGGTGTGTCTCCCACTGCCTTTTCATTGCTTTTTGTAAGTCTTTCTTCTGATTGGTTTTGGTTCAAGCAGAGGCTGCAGGGAGAGGGGGTCCTTTGTGAGTCAGACAGGCTGGGTACTGCGCCCTGGTTCCCCAAGAACACAAAGCTAATAGGGGTGGTATGTGAGGCAAGGGAAGAGATGTCTTGAACTTTCATGACTGCTTGCACTGGGGTGAGAAATGGACTATGTGGTTCAGATTTGTGTTATGTACTGCATTGCACAAAGGCTTTTATAACAAACTAACCCAAAGGCGGGTATTACAGTGTCAAGAGAGCCTGAAGTGAAGTTATTGGGTTAGCTGAGAGGGAAAACTGAGGTAGGCACAGTTGTAGTGCCACAGCCAGCCTCAGGAGGGTGCTCCAGGCAGAATTGCCTTATGACTGTATCATACGTTGATAGGGTAACTGTCAGCCATCCCATCTGCCCCTGCTCCTAGCCATCACTCATTGGCTGATTCTTCTAGGGTCTGACTCAAAGTCCATTGACATCAATTGAAAGTCTCTCATTAATTTCGGTGGGCTTTGAATCGGGCATCACAAGACAGGTGGGTCTTGAGGAAGCATTTCAAGGAGGAGAACATATTTTTCATGTGCCAACCTGTAGCGGGGTGGTTACCCGCTCCAGCCCTGACAGGGTTAAAACCAGCCCTGGGAGAGGGCTGGGAGAACAGCCCAGGCTGAGTGGGAAGCAGGCTCAGCTGGGTCCACGCCCCAATCAGGGCCCAGCTGGCCCTATAAAGGCTTGAGCCAGGCACTTAGGGCACGTCTTCACTACCCGCCGATCCGGCGGGTAGCAATTGGTCTATCGGGGATCGACTTACCGCGTCTAGTGAAGACACGATAAAATCGATCCCTGATGGCTCTACCGTCGACTCCGGAAATCCACCGCGGCAAGAGGCGGTAGCGGAGTCGACGGCGGCGCGGCAGCGGTCGACTTGCCGCCGTCCTCACAGCCAGGTAAGTCGACCTAAAATACGCCACTTCAGCTACGCTATTCACGTAGCTGAAGTTGCGTATCTTAGGTTGACCCCCCGCTGTAGTGTAGACCTAGCCTTAGACAAACAGTCTCTCTCTAGCTGTAGAGGGAGATGGGCTTGACTGCAGGGAGCTAGAGACAGGGTACCTGAGTGGAGCAGGGCTGGGGAAAGGCAGAGGCGCTGGGGAGCTCCAGCCTGGAAAGCCCCAGGCTGTGGCCTAGCATAAGGCAAATAGGTACTGGGGGCTGCAGGGGGCAGCTCAGGGGTAGGCAAAGGCAGCAGGTCCAAACCCAACCTTGCCGGTGATGAGTAGGCTGATACTGCAGTCTGCCCCAGGGCATGGGGGCTAGATAATGACTGGCAGTAGCCATATGCTGAGGCAAGGTAGGGATGGGGGTGGGGGTTCCCCTGGGTGGGGAGACCCTGAAACTGAAGGGTACTGCCAGAGGGGCAGCACCCCAGAGAAAAGGGCACCGGGGTCCTGGGAGGGACACGGGGGCCCAGCGGTAGCGGGACACCGGCCTGCAGAGGGCGCTCCAATGGCTGGAGAGCTAATTCCCTGAGACGACCAGCAGAAGGCGCCGCAGGGGTGAGTCCATGCTGCTACACAACCGCAGGCCGAAAGAAAACCAAACTTTGGCTTCTGCTTCCATTTAATTAGCCCCATGTCCCTAGCCAGCCCAACTAGGAAATGACCTGGTAGCTTGTCCTTGCATCTCACTAACCTTATTTCTACTTGGTTTTAGTCTCTGGTTCCTGGCTTTCAGATGATGTCCTGGCAGGAGAAGCGTGAGGGCCCCCAACCATGTCTTATCCATCGACTGGATCACCTGGTGCTGACTGTGAAGAGCATTGAGGACACCGTAGGCTTTTATTCCAAAGTCCTGGGTATGGAAGTGGTCACTTTCAAGGTAATCTGAGGGGCAAGATAGTTGGGATATTCTGAGTTCTAGTCCTGCTTCTGCCATTGACTTATTGTGTCACCGTGAGCAAGGCATCTCTATTTTCCCCATCTGTAGAGTGAGGACTGTAGGAACTGTCAGCCCATGGCCCATCTGACTGAGTGTCCTGTCTCTGACATAAGTCAGTGGCAGCTGAATCAGAGGCAGGTACAGAAGACCCTACAGCAGGAAATAATGGAAGAACCTGCCTCTAGAGCAGAGGTTCTCAAACTTTTCATATTGCGTATCCCCTTCCAGCTCTACCAGCTGCCCACATACCCCTATCCTTCTCCTCACTGATGCTTTGAGTGTTCTTCTTTAACACTACCTGTCTTTAGCCATCTCTCTATATTGGACTGTTACATACAGATATAGTTATAGTGCGATGTACACAACTGGAAAAAAAAACCCTAAGTTCTGAGCTCAATTAGACCAGACAGTTGCTGGGCAACTGAACCCATGCTGTACAGTGATTGGAGGTGAGGGCTCTGTACATCAGCGTTTCTGTGGATCTGTGTTCTCATTGGTACATCTTGAAGTAAATTAACTACCGTTTTTTACATAACAAATTCCCACAGAATTTTAAAGCGTTGTCTGAATAGCCTATTATGAGAATGCAATAAATAAAATAATGAATAAATAAAATCCACCATTACACAATTTCTCCCGCGTATCCCCCCCACCCCCGAGATGTCTCGCATGCCCCCAGGGGGATGCATACCACAGTATGGGAAGCCCTGTTTTAAAGGAAGCTTCCTCCTGACTCCCAATACCCAGAGTTCAGGACCTATGCCTTGAAGCAGGATAGCTTATACCCCAGAGGCCCCTGAGCCCTTTACTTCTTGAGTTGCTTGACATTTTTGGAATTTTGACAGATACACGGAACAAAAAACCTGACATTTTCACAATTCCCCCCTGCCCATTTCCCAGTTCTAGAGCAGCTTGCAGTGCTTTGAAGTTAGACATTTCAGCAAAGTTTCAAATTTGGACCAAAAAAATGAAATCAATTTTTTTTTGTTTAAATTCACTTTTTTTAAAAACCAGCTTGACCTCACAGAGCCACTGGGAGGGCTGGTTAGTTCCTGGGTGACATTTCCAAAGACACGTGTAGCAGCAGCTAGGCATCAAACTGTCATTTGGGTCTTTGAAATTCTCCCTCTCCTCCCATGTCTGTAAAGCTATAGCAGTGCTAAGACCTCACTCCTGTGTCCCTTGTTGTGCTATGGAACAGAAGTTCCACTTGCTTTCCACAAGGGGGTGACATTGAGTACAGAAATGGACCACACCTCCTACCTGTCAAAGGAGATTTCTCCTGTTCTCTCAGAGCAGTATCCCTGAGGTGCTATGAACAGGTGGCTCACTCCCCACACCAGGGTTTTCCTTGCAGTCCTGGCATTCAGCACAGCGAGTCTCTGTTTGACAGTACATTGATCCTTTCCTTCCCTTGGTGACAGGGCAACCGGAAAGCGCTACGTTTCGGGAACCAAAAGTTTAACCTCCACGAGGCTGGGAAGGAGCTTGAACCCAAGGCTCGCAGACCAGTTCCTGGTTCCATAGACGTCTGCCTGATCACAGACACCTCGCTAGACCAGCTAGTGGGACACCTGAAGGTTGGGAAAACTGTATTTCACCCAAGCCACATGTCTCATGGGATGCTACTGTAGGCCCGATGTGAATGAATAAACCCAGGGGTGTGATAGAGTAACGGGGCTAGCAAACTTCCCTGTCATCTTGGAGACCTGATGCCCAATTCAGCTTGTGCTTACAGCAGTGTAAATCAGGAGTAATTCCACTCAGGTCAAGGGGGTTGTAAGGAAGAGGAGAACCAGACGCCTGGAGTTCAGTGGGTGAACATGAATCTCCTGGCGTTGTACTGCTCTATATCACAAAACCTCCCCCTTTGGGATACATTTGAAAATCTCTGTATAACAGGTTCAGCACTGGGGTAGCAGGGGGCTTGGGGGCAGGGCAGGGTCTATGGGGCAGGATTGAGGGGCATCGTCATAACTGTGCGTGGGAACCCCAGAACTGGAATAGCAGATGGGGCTGCAGGTCAGCAGCAGAGACGTGCCTGGGGAACCCCGGACTGGAATAGGTGGGGGAGGTGTGAGCAGGGCCGGCTCCAGGCACCAGCCCTCCAAGCATGTGCTTGGGGCGGCACCTGGAGGGGGGCGGCGCTCACCCGGGGAGAGCGGGGCCCCGGCCGGGCTCGCCGCCCTCCCCCCGGCGCTCCGGCCGGTCGGGGAGAGCGGGGCCCCGGCCGGAGCGGGGTGCGGGGTGTGGCTGGAGGCTTTTTTGCCTGGGGCGGCAAAAAAGCCAGAGCCGGCCCTGGGTGTGAGACAGGATTGAAGGGCATCTGCAGAGCTGTGGTAAAGGGAGACTAAGGGCAGGACTGGACTAGTAGTGCATGTTTCAGATCAGGGATGAGGTAAGGTGGCAGAGGCATACAGAACCCCCAGTCCTGGGACAGCAGGGCCCAGTACCTGCCAAAATATTACTCGCCAATGTTTCTCTTGCCTTCAGAACACAAAACCCATCACCTACTAGTCTATGTAATTGGCCCCTTCCTTCTGTCCATACACCATATGTCCAGCCCCATACACCCACAATGCTTTGGAGTCCAACCTAGCTCAGTTGTGTCTCTTTATCTTCTCTGCTAGACAGCACAAGGAAATCATAAGGAACAAGGATCCACATCAGCAGTGCTATGCTGTATGGATCACTGTCAGGGGCAATTGACGGCGTAGCTGGTTGCGCAGGTCTGCAGAGCATTTGCCACCAGGGCCGGCTCCAGGCACCAGTTCAGCAAGCAGGGGCTTGGGGCAGCCAAGGGGCAGGAGCGGCACGTCGGGCTCTTCGGCGGCAATTCCGCGGCGGGTCCATCGGTCCCTCTTGGAGGGAAGGACCTGCTGCCGAAGAAGAAAGCGGCGCCATGGAGATGCCGCCAATCGCAATCGCGGCTTTTTTTTATTATTATTTTTTTGCCGCTTGGGGCGTCAAAAACCCTGGAGCTGGCCCTGTTTGCCACTGGACCCTTAATGAAGAGAATCTCTTGAGTTCAAAGTCCATGGAAGTCACTCAGAGCAGCAAGCACATGAGTGTTCAATGAGATGAATTTAGATCAGGGGTTGGCAACCTTTCAGAAGTGGTGTGCCCAGTCTTCATTTATTCACTCACTCTGATTTAAGCTTTCGTGTGCCAGTTTTACATTTTAACGTTTTTAGAAGGTCTCTTTCTAGAAATCTATAATATATAACTAAATTATTGTTGTATGTAAAGAAAATAAGGTTTTTAAAATGTTTAAGAAGCTTCATTTAAAATTAAATTAAATTGCAGAGCCCCCCGGACTGGAGGCCAGGACCCGGGCAGTGTGAGTGCCACTGAAAATCAGCTCACGTGCCGCCTTTGGCACGCGTGCCATAGGTTGCCTACCCCGATTTAGATGTTTCCAAGGAAGACACCCTATGGAACTGGAGATTGGGAGATTTCAGATTTTCTTACTATACAACGTGAGATCTGTCACCCAGCCATCAGCCTGGGAAATCCAAGACCTCCAATCCCAATTCTAAGCAGTATGGGGCACATGGGGAGGAGCAGTTATACCTGTGCCTTCTTGAAGATCTATTTCATTACCTATGTGACTCTCTGCTTCCTACACCCACACCCCTTGCCCATGGACAGATAAACCCAGGGACTTGGCAGATTAAGGGGTTAATGCAATAATAGCCTTAGCTCTGGAGACCTGTATTCAAAGCCTGGCTTAGCTCACCAGTGAACCTGAATCTATTGGTTGTGTCCTGTTCCCCTTTCTAGTGCTGAATGCTGAACTGCTTTTCGGCCAGGAGGTGCAGCCATTGAGTGCCACAGGCTGGGATCACAGGGTTCAAGAGCGGCTAGGGCCCTGTTTGGCAACACCTAGTTCTCTTCTAGGTCCTCTTCACCATCTGCCCCTCTCCTGGGAAAAGGCACGGCAACACTGTTAAATCAGAACAGCCATGGCCAGAGAGGTGCTTGGACAATGGTTCCACCATCTGCCTGGCGGGGGACTGGGGGCAAGCCCCTTAGAAAACCATTGTTAATGCTGAAAACCAAACATACCTTCCCTCTCCTTCCAGGCCTGTGGTGTGACTATTGAAGAAGGCCCAGTGCCCAGAACCGGTGCCATTGGTCCAATCACATCCATCTACTTCCGAGACCCCGATGAAAACCTGATTGAGGTTTCCAACTACAGCACTGATTTGGCTGTCGACAGAGTGAAGCATTAGCCACAATCCTCTTTCCACCACCCCCCAACCTCCTCAACACTAGAGGCAAACCAAGGGAGGCTGTGATTTTGCTTTGTTCATTTGCAATGCATTGTAGGATGGGGTTTGGGTGTTGCAAACTGAGAACACATCAGTTTGTGTCCATGTCCATGTCCATTCTGCCAGGTTCCTGATAGAGCGGGACATATCAGGCCTCATCCTCAAAGGAAACCTGCACAACACATTCAAAAGACGAGCCAGGGCTGGGAGCTTAAATTCATAAGTCTGCTAGACACTAAAAATCAGGGACTGAACAGAGACACTGGATTTATGGCTTATTACAACAATCTGCTACCCACTAACTCCCCCCTCCCCCACCCTGCTTTTTGTCCTATGACTGCAGAGGTGTTAACTCTACCTTGAAAGGTCCCGTGCAATATGTGCTAACTACTTATGCTAAACAATCTGTTCCACTGTTCATTTTGCTGTGATGCTGGGAGTACCTTTCCCAGCCCTGAAGAAGAGCTCTTGGTGGCTCGGCAGCCTCTCTCCCACCAACAGAAGTTTTCCTAGCTGGGCAGCTGGAGAGTGGTGGCTGCTGGCCGGGAGCCCAGCTCTGAAAGCAGAGCTGCCACCAGCAGCAACACAGAAGTAAGGATGGCATGGTATGATATTGCCACCACTACTTCTGCACTGCTGCCTGCAGAGCAGGGCCCTCAGTGAGCAGCCGCCACTCTCCAGCTGCCCAGCTCTGAAGGCAGCAGCGCAGAAGGATGACATGGTATGGTATTGCTACCTTCAGAGCTGGGCACCCAGCCAACAGGCGCCACTCTCCAGCCACCCAGCTCTGAAGGCAGTGCAGAAGTAAGGGTGGCAATTCCATGACTCCCCCTCCCCTGCCCCCAAATAACTTTGTGACTCCCCTGCAATTCCCTTTTGGCTCAGGACCCCAATTTGAGAAATGCAGGTCTCCCCTGTGAAATCTGTACAGTGTAGGGTAAAAGCGCATAAAAGACCAGATTTCATGGAGGAGATCGGATTTCATGGTCTGTGATACAGTTTTCATGGCCATGAATTTAGTAGGGCCCTAATAATTAGGGCAAGTGTGTAGGAAAATCAAGTATGAATCAACCACTAGATGGCAGCATTGCTTAATGTGGTCTCTGAAAGTGACAGTAGCTGCTGAGCTAGCTGGAGACCAGAATCAGCCCATCAAAGGAAATTATATAGGGCCAGATCCTCTACTGGTGTAATTTGGTGTAGCTCCAAAGCAAGATCTGGCCCATTAACTGGTCTGCATGGCTCAGGAGATGGGCTGGATGGACCTGGGATATGGAGCTTTTCAGCATGGTCACTTGTTCACTTCATCCCGTTATTGAATGCTGCTTGGTCATGTATGTCAAATGCTTTGGTGGATCTCCCATCTGTTCCCTGCGGATGGGAGAGACTGCACAGAAAGTGTCCCTGAGACCGCAAACGCTTGCTTCCTGCTGCTCAAATTCCCGCAAGGCAAGAGAATCCCTGCCTGGAGGAGATTGCAGTGGCACATAGCAGTACAGAGATTGCATGCCAGACATCCCTGGTGGGGAGACCAGGTTTCAAGGGCTAAGTAAGTGGCTGAGTTGGTTGATATGTAGAGGCATGAAGGAGAAGAGGGAGGGGAAGGGTAGGTGAAGCATGGAAAGGAGGGTGTTTGCTCCAAGCAGAGCAGGCTCTATTTAAAATAAAAAGGCGTGGCATTGGTAGCAGCGAAAGGAAGACCTGAGGATTGGGAAGAGCACAGAGAATGAAATCGGTTGTTGAGGGAGGAGGATATAAACAAGGCGTCCAAGGACTGGCCGTGCCTGGACTCTCTTGCTGCCTGGGAGTGAGACACTGGTAGAAAGTGCTCAGATCTCCCTGGTAGGTTAAGAGCAGGGGCCTCGAACAAGTGTGTGCTTAGTGACAGCCACTGCCACATGCAAAATCTGAGCCCCCAAGGCGAGATTTCAGGTTCAGAGGGAATCATCAGCCTTGTCTGGCTGAACGGAAACTGCTAAAAGTCTCATTTTAGCCCACCAAAAACAATTATGCCCAACTTGGCCTGTTCATTAGTCTCTGCTTGAGACAGGCTTAGTGCTGGGATAGCAGCAAGTGCCCTAGGCCAGGACCGAGGTGCATGGCAGCTTTGGGGGGGCAACACTTCAATGGTCAGGATGGAGGTGCACTGGCAGAGCTGTGTGGGTGGAGCCCAGGGCTGGCAAAGCAGAGGGCGCTGCAGATTACAGCTGTGTGGGAAGCTTGCATGTCCCCTCGCCAACCTCTGCCTGACTCTAGCCAGCACTAATTGTCCTTTTGTATGAGCATTAACTTCAGAGATAAGGTGAGCGAAGAAATACCTTTTATTGGACACTGCTTCTGTTGGTGAAAGACACAAGCTTTCAAGCTCCACAGCGCTCTTCTGCCTGCCTGGGAAAGGTAATCAGAAGGCATGTCTACATTACAAAGTTAAATCCGATGTAAGGGAGCTTACCTTGACCTAACTACGTAAGCAGTGCATACACATTACAGTTTTCCTCCTGCCACTGTAACTTGCCCACTACGCCGACCTAGTAAAGCCACCTCAGCGAGTGGCATAAGGCTTAGGTGGACGTAGCTCAGGTGATGCAGTGTCTGTAAAGACACTGCGTTCCTTGAATCACATGTTGGTTGTCAGGGTGGCTGACAGCTGGAGCTGTGAAATTGACAAGAATGTCAATTTCACCTCTGGTAGGGTCCCTGTTTTGAAATTGAGTGGGAGGGAGGGCGTTCCAGCTGTGAGCCCCAGCAGTGCGGACAGCTGGAATCTCACTGCCTAGCACTGATAACCCAGGCTGTGGGCTCCCCACAGAGCTCCCAGCGGGAGCCCGGCTGCTAAATACACAAATGTGTCACAGCTAAATACAACGTTAAGCATAAGGAGTTACCACATGTTGCAAGAGACCATTCAAAATGAAGCAAGCAGTTAGCACCTCTGCAGTCATAGGACAAGGAGAGTTAGTGGGTCACCAATTGTTGTAATGCGAGATATGTGTCTCTATTGAGTCCCTGCTTGGTGTCTAGCGGAGTTAAGAATTTGATGGTTATTATTCCACACTGCAAACATTAACGTCACACATATTCAAGAAATTGATCTAACATCATACATGTGCTAGTGTCACACTGTAAGCCACCACTCACCTTTCATCTGGGTTGCTAAGCGAATGCACATGGATGTGTAATTCTAGCTTTTTACACAAGCTGGTGACAACAGGCGTTGATGATGTAGCTTCTTATTTTCTGGAGTTTTGCATATGGGAGCAGTTCTTGAGTTCGCCAGAAGAGGGCAACTTTGTCACCAACAAGGGCGCAAGTAAAAAGTACTTGGAGGTTGGAAAGACTTAGGAGATAGATGCAGTTAAAAATCATCTCTAAAACCCAAACAAAAAAAGTAAAATGCTCAGATTGATTGTTTTTTCTTTCCTGCTGCTATTTATAATGTACGAAGGTTGTGGAGAGACAAAGTTTTAGTGAAATCGGAGTTTCAGCTAAACCAATGTCTGCTATTGATACAGAGTCATAGATTTTAAGTTCAGAAGGAACCATTATGATAATCTGCTCCAACCTCCTGAATAGCACATGCCATAGAACCTCACCCAGTAATTTCTGCATCCAGCCCATAACTCCTATTTGAGTTAGAGAAGACGTCCAATCTTGATTTAAAGACTGAAGTGATGGAAAACTCACCATATCTCTAGGTCAGCTAGTCCAATAAATCACCCTCACTGTTGAAAATTTGCACCTTTTTTCTAGTCTGAATTTGTCTAGCTTCAGCTTCCAGCCATTAGATATTGCTATGCCTTTGTCTGCTAACTTAAAGAGCCATCCAACAAATCTCTTCCCTGTGTAGGTATCATTTTATTCTACACGCACTTCTCTATCTAACCCAGCCCCCATCATTAGATGTGAGATTCCTTTGCGGTTACAGCCCGGGAGGGCAGGTGCCAGCCATGTGCGTAGGATAAACATCAAGATGAAGTTTTATATGAAAAAGAACATTTAAAAAAAAACAAACTAAACTGATTGTAAACTGTCCTTACAAGCAAAGCTCCTTCTGATGTGTCCAATGAACCTTGCAAAGACTCCCATTGTAAAACACTTTGAGATCGACTGATAAAAGCACTCTATAAGAGCTGGTTATTATTATTCCACAGTGCAGATTTGCTGGCGTTTATCAACTTTTGTTCAAGCATCTCACTAGCAGACTGAAACAGTCTAAGGACTGCAAACATTCATGAAAACCAATTCAAGAGCTACATTGCAAGACAAGGAACTGGGTTTTATTTTCAATCATACTTGTTTATATCTGGAATTTGCACCATTGATTTCCTCTTGATTTGCACCAGTGTAACTAAGAGCACAATTTATCCTAATGCACCTAGGTTGTGCTCACACAGGGATAGGCTCCATGCAAAATTGGGGCTTGTGCACAAACATAGCCCTGGTGCGTGACGTTCTCATTTTGCACGTCTAGTGTGTGCTTTGGCGGTGAAGGGTAGGCACTTAGACTGGAATTTTCAGAAGGGCTCAGCCCTTATAATTGGGGCCATATTTTCATAAGACCTGAGTATCCAACTTGCACCCCTGGACACTTTGGAGAATCTGGGTCTAAGTGTCACAATGGGATCTGAACATGTCTGAAAATCTGATCCTTAATCAGGTGCCTAAGTGGGAGCCAAGCTGAAAATCTGACCCCACATTTTGAAAATGTGGTGCAAAGGTGCTGACATTGGGTGATAGAATGAGGAAATGCCTGGTAAAGGCATCTCTACCTTGTAGCTAGACACGTGGATCCCCCAGTCTATGTTCTTGTTGCTCATTCTTAGACCTAGCAGGAGATCAGCTCTGAATATCTTTGCAATTTGCTCTTTATTTACAAGGGCAATGGACTGGTGTTCTGACATCTTGCTTCATTACAGAGCTTGTCACTGCCATCAGATGGTCAATAAATGTTGCTCACCTGT